CAACAGTACAAAATCTGCACCAGTGATAAGGCGATAATGATAAACCATGCCACAACTTTTACTCGGTTAGCAAGCGATTTTGCCAGTGGATATCCACTTTATCCAATTGTGTCTACTGTCACAACTGTTGCACAAGATCATACAAATAAAAGAAGGCTTGTTGGTATATTTATATCTTTTCTTTAATCATTTTTATATCATCTACTATAAATTTAACAAGAAAATATGTTTTTTAGATGTGGTTGGAAGAATAGTATGGGGAAATCGAATCAGACAGCTGCGATCATTTGAGTTAATTCTCCAAGATGAGACGTAAGTATATATGTATTTAAAAAAAATTAAAACAACATAGTTTTTTATTAAATTTATTATCATTCATTATAAGAGTTTAAACAGCATTACCTTTTAATAGGGGGAACGTAACAAAGTTATTGTTGTATAACGTACCAGCAAACCTTATGATTAAGGTTATTGTTGCAACATACAACAAATCCATACTCTATGTTTCTTGCATGAAGCTGGTCCACAACAATTTGGGTCAGTTAAAAAATATGATCAGTATATAATTTATATTAATATCAACATATTCCAAATTGTAAATACATATTATTAAATTTTATGCCACATGTTTCATGTTTTTGCAGGTAATTTATTGGTTTCTACTGTTTTAACCGACTTTGATGTTGAACCACAAATGTATGAAGCTGATAGGATTAGAGCTAGATATTGATGAGAGAGTATTAGAAAAAGATTTTCTTGAAAACTTTTTTAATTCCCGTGTTTTCAATTCAGTTGTGGAACTTTTAACACATATGGTTTTACCACATTATATCTTTTATCAGTTTTAAGTTTTATTATTGGTTTTGTTAATTTGTTAACTTTTCATTCGTGAATGTGGTGTTTTTATTTTCTTTTTGACTTACTATATATATATATATATATATATTATATATATATATATATATATATATATATATATATATATAATTGCTTGTAACTGGTATTGGTTTCATATCGATGGATGTGGATTCGCATATGAAATCAATTGTGTTCGCATATATGAAATCAGTTCGCATATGACATCAATTGAGTTCGCATTTGGTTTTGTGGGTCAAAACAGTTCGCATAAGAAGTTCACGATTTGTTTGAGGTTAATTGATTTTGATTTCGCAAGCTTGGAGTCGGAGATCTGGATTGTGTTCGCATCTATGGAATGCGAGGAGAATTTAATGGTGATATTCAGTTCGCATTTGGTGACACAAGTACGTGGTTGATGATTTTTGGTTGGTTCGCATTTGAAATCAGTGGGTTTCGCATTTGGGTTCGTATCTGGGTTTCTCAAACAACTGAAATGCGAATATGAGACAACTGATTAATTTCTCAGTTAATGCGATGAAATGCGAATGAACTCAAAGACGGATGGATGCAAGATGCGAAGAACTTGAATGAAAATGCGAAGTTTTTAATGTATAAATGCGAATTGGGGAAGAAAGTTAGAGTTTCGCATTTGGCACCTGATCTTTTCAAGAAATAATATAAGTGGTCCAACTTCGCAAAATGGGGTCATAAAAAGACAAGTGCAGAATTTTCATTTCGCATCCCTGTAGTTGGACCACTTATATTATTTCTTGAAAAGATCAGGGGCCAAATGCGAAACTCTTAGCTTTCTTCCCCAATTCGCATTTATACATTAAAAACTTCGCATTTTCATTCAAGTTCTTCGCATCTTGCATCCATCCGTCTTTGAGTTCATTCGCATTTCATCGCATTAACTGAGAAATTAATCAGTTGTCTCATATTCGCATTTCAGTTGTTTGAGAAACCCAGATACGAACCCAAATGCGAAACCCACTGATTTCAAATGCGAACCAACCAAAAATCATCAACCACGTACTTGTGTCACCAAATGCGAACTGAATATCACCATTAAATTCTCCTCGCATTCCATAGATGCGAACACAATCCAGATCTCCGACTCCAAGCTTGCGAAATCAAAATCAATTAACCTCAAACAAATCGTGAACTTCTTATGCGAACTGTTTTGACCCACAAAACCAAATGCGAACTCAATTCATGCAATTCCTATTTTTTTTTTTTAAGAATCTACAAAAATAATAATTAAAATTGAATTACATGTAAAACCAATTCAAAACAAAAAATCTTATTTTGTTTCCCGGTATAATTTTGAATACTTTTCAACTAATAAGATAAAAGTAAATCAAAATGGATTACGAATTTTCAAATTTTATTATAAATATACACATAAGTATGAACTATATGTAATCCTTTCATAACAAACTTTTAACCTATATATATATATATATATATATATATATATAATATATATATATATAGAGAGAGAGAGAGAGATATTTGCGTAGTAGATGAACCATAGGCGCCAATTGCAAACATATTCTATAATTATAATTTAACATATAAGAAGGCTTCATCGGTTCTACAGTCTGCTACTGCGTATGTTTACTATTTACGATTTTTACTTTCTCGATTATACACCATTCACACTCACTTTGTGTTCCTTTGTACATGCATAAACTACATATATTCTATCGGCTTCACAAAAACCATCTGCTCTATCGGATTCATCAAAATCAAACAGGTATGTGTATTTAACTTTAAATTATCTCTTATTCAAGTACTATATGATGAAAAAGTCTACTATTTATAGTATTTTTTTAGTTAGATGCAACGTGTTTCAAAGTAACTAGCTTCACCTAAGAAAAGAAGTATCATCAAACCAATATATGTCGGCAACTCAAGCATCATCTCCTTATAGACCATTCACATTACCAGAAACACATAAATAAAATCTGGTTTTGATCTAAACTATTATAACAAAAACAAATGGTAATAAATTTCGTATTTGAATAATCATACTTTTTGATTTGTTATGTATAAAATAAAGTATACATTTTTTTGTGTGTTTTACAGTTTGCAATGAGGTTTGACGGTAAAGAAAATAAACATAATAATGTTATCCAAATTGATGCAGAAAATACAAAAGGTATATCACATATTTACAATCATTATTAGTATATCATCGTTATACATTATTCATTTAAAAAAATATTGCAGAAAAACGAAAAGCATATAATAAGGCATGTTACGAACGACGAAAGGAGAAAAACAAAATGAGACGAATAGCTAATGGGGAAGGAAATAGTCAAAACGCAACATTTTTGTCAAATGTGCCAACAGTAAATAGGAATCTGGTGGATATTACCAATGCATCTCCTACATGTGTAATGGATTTTGGTCAAAAAAAGTTGATTTATAATAGAAACCCTTATCAACGTCAGACGGAACCAACCATAACAAAACCAGGTAACTATGTCTGAAGTTATCATATTACAATCTAAGTAGTACAACATTACATTTAACCATAATCTTTCATAATTTACATTCTTAATGAGAAATTTTTGTTTATACGTAGGTATTCAAAGTCAGCCTGACGTAATACTACCTCCACGCGATGAATTGATAACTCAAATTTCAACATCAATAGGTCAGTATTTGATTTTTACCGAAAAATATCATATATATTGGCTAATAATTATGTGTAATTATTTTAATTTTATTTATATTACATTTAACTAATGAATAAAATGTCTACAGATCCACAAGGTTGTATCCATGGCAATGTCACTCCATCAGTACAAAATGGTAGCATCTCGGATGATCCATATAGTTTTGTTTTCGCCGGTATCCGTAAAAAACATCGTGTGGTGAAGTTCAATGATATATGTAGTTATTGTGGGGCAAAACGACTACAATTTGAATCTGCTGGCTTTTGTTGCATGAGTGGAAAGACAAAGTTGGCAGACTCATCTATTCCTGACGAATTACACAATCTTTTCACCTCAGAAACAAAATTAGGCAAATTGTTTAGAAAGAATATACGTGCATACAACACCAACTATTCATTTGCATCAATGGGCGTAGAAGTGGATGAATCGATGGCCAATATGACATCTGGGGTATACACTTTTTGTGTGAATGGAGGGATATACCATAGAATCGATCAGTTAGTTCCAAGGAAAAAGGATGAACCTAAGTTCTTACAATTGTATTTTTACGATGTTGAAGCTGAGATGTCAAATAGACTCGAATGGAAGAATCTTGCTAAACCAATTGTTGAAATTTTGACTCGCGTTCTTGCTACAAACCCATACGTTGCAATATTTCGTAGCCTTGCTGATCTAGGACCGCTCGACAATTACAGAGTCACTTTAAATGCATCAGTAGAACTAGACCAAAGGGTGTACAACCGGCCAACCACATCCGAGGTTTGAAATTAATTATGTACATATGTTTTTGAGAAAAAAGATGTTTCATGTATTAAATATAACTATGCAAATTACGTACCAGTTTTAATCATATTTTTTCTATTGTATAATTTCACAGGTTGCTGGTATTTGGATTGAAGGCAATGACAACATAACCGCATATAAAAGAAGTATTATAGTATATGGAAGGTCCGACAAACCAAAAACAATTCAATCTTATTGGGGATGTTATGACCCATTGTGTTATCCTTTATTCTTTCCAAATGGTGAGCCTGGATGGCATTCTAACATACTAAGGCAAGGGGTTTCATTCAATGAGATGGTTAATGACGACCAAATCTTCGATGAAGATCTAGAAGGTACGCATAGCCACAATTTTAATATTGTTAAATTTTACAAATGTAAAAATTGATATAATTTATTCAATTTAATCATTATGTAGAGACTGATATAAGAACGGGTAGGAAAACTGTAACTATGCGGGAGTACTACTGTTACAAGTTGCAGATTCGATCAAACTTGAACGTAATTATGTTAGGAGGGAGATTATTACAACAATTTGTGGTAGATATCTACATCAAGATTGAGACTTCGCGTTTGGAATTTTGTAGAAAAAACCAATCTACAATAAGAGCGGAGTTATACCAAGGTGTTGTGGATTGTGTCAATGCCGGTGAGGTACAAGCAAGTATGATTGGGCAACGTGTTGTTTTGCCAGCAAGTTTCATCGGAGGTCCTCGTGACATGCGACGACGATTTCTCGATGCTATGGCTTTAGTTCAAGATGGAGGGAAACCTGATATATTCCTTACAATAACGTGCAATCCGAATTGGCCTGAAATCCAAAATGAGTTACTTCATTTTCAAACAGCACAAGATAGACCAGATCTGGTTGCAAGAGTTTTTCGTGCTAAGTTACATGACCTTAAGGAACAACTCTTGAAGAGGCACGTCCTTGGTGTGGTGAGTGCATATGTTTATGTAATAGAGTTCCAGAAACGTGGTTTACCACATGCTCATTTTCTCTTAATAATGAAACCTGAATGGAAGCTCACCAATACAGACCATTATGATAAGTATGTGTGTGCCGAAATTCCAAACCCGACAAAGTATCCTATACTACACGATCTGGTCAAACACACATGATACATGGTCCTTGTGGTACATTAAACAAAAAATGTTCTTGTATGCAAGGTGATCCACCAACCTGTCGTTTTAGATACCCTCGACAATTCAACGAAGCCACAACACAAGGAAAGGACACATATCCGGTTTATCGAAGGAGAGATAATGGAATTGCTGTGAATAAACAAGGTATTATGATGGATAATAGATGGGTTGTCCCATATAACCCAAAGTTGTTGATGATGTTCAACTGCCATCTAAATGTTGAGGTTTGCTCGAGTATAACATCAGTGAAATACATCTTTAAGTATATTTACAAGGGTCACGACAAGCAAGTTATCCATATTGATCCAGATGCACAACCTGTTGTTATCAATGAGATAAAACGTTTTCAGGATGCACGATACGTCTCCGCTCCAGAAGCAGTATGGCGAATTTTTAGCTTTTCTCTTAATCAAATCCACCCTAATGTGATCACTTTGCAATTGCATCTTCCAAACCAACAGTTGGTTAGGTTCACTGATGATGATGCAATGAAATCAGTTGTTGAGAGGGAGAAAGATAAGAGATCAATGTTGACTGCATTTTTCAAGATGAATAAAGATAACGTTAATGCAAGAGAATATTTATACAAAGATTTTCCCAAACACTTCACATGGAATAAAGAATCGCGTCTATGGAATCCTCGAAAAGTATCACGAGCAGTTGGTCGTTTGGTTTCTGCAAATCCTGCTGAAGGTGAGCGATACTATCTACGTGTGTTATTATGTCATGTTAGGGGTCCTACATGTTTTGAAGATCTGTACACAGTCAATAACGTAAGACATCCCACATTTCGAAAAGCGGCTCTTGAAAGAGGGTTAATAGAGACAGATGATAGTTTATCGCAGTGTCTTGTAGAGGCCTCCTTGTTTCAGTTTCCAAATGCTCTCAGAAGGTTGTTTGCAACGATATTAGTTTTTTGTGATCCTGGAGATGTTCGCAAGATATGGAATTCCCACTACAATTCTCTCTCCGAAGATTATAGTAGACAATACGATAATGTCAATCGAGTACAAAATATGGTCCTTACAGACATAAGCGTATTCCTACAGTCTATGGGTAACAAGCTTGATAACTTTGATCTCCCGACTGTAAACACCGATTTGAATTTTCAGTCTGGAGTTTTTCGAGAGGTACAAGAAGAATGCTCTATAATTGTGGAAGATGACCATTTGCGTGCCAAAGAGTTTCTCAATCCTGAACAAAAATATGCATATGATGAGATCATGAGGCATGTGTGTACTGATTGTACAGGAGTGTTCTTCATAGATGGTCCTGGCGGAACAGGAAAAACATATCTGTACAAAGCTTTACTTGCTAATATACGCAAACTTGGTCATATTGCACTCGCCACAGCTTCATCGGGTGTTGCGGCTAATAACATGCCTGGGGGGAGAACAGCTCACTCGCGTTTCAAACTTCCTCTAACTCCAGATAATAACTCATTCTGTAGAATCCAAAAACAAAGCGGTACCGCTCAACTACTTCGGCTTGCAAAAATAATCATATGGGATGAGGCATCGATGGCAAAGCGACAGGTGGTGGAGGCGTTTGATCGGACAATGCAAGATATCACTGGGGTGGCACTCCCTTTTGGTGGAAAGATAATGGTTCTGGGAGGCGATTTTAGACAAGTATTGCCAGTCGTAAGACGTGGGACACGAGCACAAATTGTAGACTCTAGCCTACGAATGTCGCCTCTTTGGTCTTCGATTATAAAGTTGCGGTTAACAATAAATATGAGAGCACTTACTGATCCATGGTTCTCAAACTTTCTATTACGGGTTGGTGATGGAGTTGAAGAAACAGTGGACGGAAGTTTTATTCGCATCCCTGATGATATGGTCATTCCATACACTGATAAAGAAAAATCATTAGATTCTTTGATTGATGCAGTGTTTCCCTCATTGGAATTTAATAGGTCTGAATCAGATTATATCATATCGCGGGCAATATTATCTACAAAAAATGACAGTGTCGATGCGATTAACGATTACATGATCGATCGATTTCAAGGAGAAGAGAGAATTTACTATAGTGTCGATGAAGCCATAGATGATAAAAATGGCTTCTATCCGTTGGAATTCTTAAACTCGATCAGTGTTAGTGGTTTACCTCCGCATTACCTTCGATTAAAAGTTGGATGTCCGATAATACTGTTACGGAATATTGACCCAGCAAATGGGTTGTGTAATGGCACCCGATTGATATGTAGAAGCTTTCAGCAAAATGTTATTGATGCAGAAATAGCTGTTGGTCAACATGCAGGAACAAGGATATTTTTGCCTAAGATTCCTTTATGTCCATCTGATGATGATATGTTCCCATTCAAGCTAAAGAGGAAACAGTTTCCTATTCGATTGTGCTTTGCAATGACAATCAATAAAGCTCAGGGACAAACAATTCCATATGTAGGTATCTATCTTCCAGAACCAGTATTCTCGCATGGACAACTTTATGTTGCATTGTCCAGAGGGGTTTCACGTTGCAATACAAAAGTATTAGTACAGCCTAACGAAAATTCAAAAGGTGATGGGGTTTATACAGCAAATGTGGTGTATAAAGAAGTATTGCACGATTAATATTTTCTATTGTCTTGACTGGTTGCTTTTTATTGGTTATTTGATGCATGATGTAACAAATAACACCATAGTTTGATTATATTGTCTTCAACATGTACTTTTTTTTAACATAACAATTTTGTAATGGAAACATATCACCGAAAGAACTCACGTGCCCCGCCGCTTTGCGCGGGTAGACGGCTAGTATATATATATATATATATATATATATATATATATATATATATATATATATATATATATATATATATATATATATATATATATATATATATAATGGAATGGTTTACTAAATATGATTTCCAAATTGGTCCTAGAATCAATTTTTCCGGTCCGAAACCGTAACTGAACGGGCATCAAATATGTATCAGTATATTCTGTACTAGATTTAGTCTCCAAAATAAATAAAAGTAAAGTACATCCCTAGGTTTGTGTTTTTTTACTACATGAGAAGTGGAGAAGATTATTTTTTTTTTCTATGCTCCCAATGGCCTATTTTTATAATTAAAGACGGCTCAGTTAAAAGGGTAGGTCAAAAGCTTTTCACCTTCCAAAATTAAAAAAATTAGTTAATCAAGGGTTTGATTTTGAATTTAATTTGTACGACCGTATATTGATTTTATGGATTTGGTTTTGTAAGAAAATGATTACGTGTCTTTAGCACCACATATATCATAAGCGATCTATTCGTCTATCGTGATCGTGATATATTCAATTTATGTGATGAATCTTAACCATAAAGAAATATTGAAGCCTCAGTTAGAAAATACCCGTTTACTTATTCATATAACAACAAAACAACAATGAATTCAGTTTGAACCATTGGATTTGAAAAGCCTCACATCAATCGATTTTGATGCCAATTCCACATTGTTTAAGTCAACAGAGCCTATGGTCTTGAAGAGACTCGTCAATCTTGGTGCACCGTAGGATTGGTTTTGGTGCTTACAGAACGCCTGGTGGCTTGGAAACAATGAAACTGATACATTGCACTTGACGAACGTTGTCAAATCCGATAACACGGATGAAAGCGTTGGGGTACTCCTTCTTGCACTCTTCAACTTCCTTCATGACCTGGGCTGAGTCTGTGCACCCGAACATAGGCAACTTCCACATTGTCCAGTAGCGTCCATCATAGTATCCGGGGGAATGGTGGTGCTCACGGTAAACAAATCCATGCTATTATATATAGACACCACAAATATAAATATATATTCACTTTACAATTAATTATGTTTTGTTTATATTAATCAATTAGTTAATAAAGTTAATAAAAGGTGATTATAAGAAATAGACCTCCAACTCGAATTCCAAGCAAGGAACCCACTTGTTGCGGAGAAGATAGTCGATTTCCTTAGACAATGCGGCGTCGGACAATGGTGGTAGGTATGAAAGGGTCTCGTACTTCTTTAACCCTATTGGTGGCCAAACCTATATCACATAATAAACTGATTCTGATTTTGATGCTGATTATAATAGTACTTAATTGTGGTTTATCGACCATATATACCTTCATGCATTGCACCCTTCCACCATTGCTAGGGAGGGAGGAAAAGTCGTTAGCTTTCTTGGTGACTGGGAAAGCGACATTAGACTTGAGACCGGTGAATGGAGCCGCCAAGCTAGCTTGGGCAGTGGTGGATCGGTTGACGGTGGCAACAGCGGAGGAGGAGACGGACGCCATTTAAATAATTTGCTGCTCTTCTCTTAGTAGTAGTTAGGAATGGACTTCTAGAATCCAATGAGTGATTTTAGTGCCTATTGATGTATAGGTATATATAGTACTAGTTGCCATCTAACGGACAAAAGCATATATGTATCTTGATTCTAACGTATGGTGTGGCTGATGACATTACATGCATCATGTCCACAAAAAGATTTTAAAAGGATGTAATGCCTTATCATTGAGGAACCATGAGTCAGGGTACTCCTATACCTTATCTCTTCTTCTAAAGGAGAGGTTGATACGTTATGGAGCTATTTTGAAAATGTTCGGTTGTGTACAATATGATACTATGATCCCCTTCTTAATGGGCTTAGGTCCAGTAAACATGCAGAAAAAATAAGGAACATGTGCGGATGTGCCATTGTTGATCGTTAGAGAAATGGGCCGAATCTTTGTTGGTTTATAACTTTATATGCCCACTGAGATTCAGGGGATGTTTGAGATTATTTATATGAAAGGGTTTATGTTTTTATAGGGCATGTGTTTATTTTTGTTTAAAATTTTTGTATCGTACCTCTCTATAAAGAAAAAATTATTTAAAATTATTATATATGGATTACTTCAATTTATTTATGTGGGCGGATTAGTTTATGCGTTAACAAAACAAAAATAAGGTGATAAGTTATTTATTAATGTTTGACAAATTCTAATTATATATATCAATGATAAAATGAGCATTTTTATCTATTATCGATTTATTTATTTTTCATATAACACTTTATATTTTTTTATACTATTTTTTATAAATAATTAAAATCAATAATATTACATAATATATATATATATATATATATATATATATATATATATATATATATATATATTATAACTTTTCTTATATATCATATCTTAATTAAGAAAAAATTTAACAAAAGAAAGTTAGGAATTTTACAAATCTTGAGTTGTTAAAAAAAAAAGGGAAGAAATAGATATGAACATAATCAAGGAGAAATATAGGATGTACAGTCCTACATAGGGGTTGTAATTGATTACATGACACGATACGAAATTGGAGCAAAACTGAATTTCGAATTTGTATTCGTGTCGTGTTCATATTAAGTGTAAAAAACACGTTATCGTGTCGTGTCATGTTTGTGTTTGTTGTGTTATGTATGATTGAATATTAATTAAATAAACTAATTGTTATATTATAATATCTTTGTTGTGTCGTGTTTATAGTTTTTTAATTGGTTCATTTTCGTGTTAGTTAAAAAAACACGATATCGTGTGGTTTCGTGTTCGTGTTATATAAAACTTTGTCGTGTTGTGTCTCGTCAGACAAAAAAAAACACGATACAATTGCCCAATTTAAATTCACAATTCGAACCAGTTATGGAAAATAATTAAGGGAGCAATAATTAAAGCGTAAAGTGAGTTTCGTTAAGTTGTGGTGTCTCATGGACATTCGTCAAGTATAGTGTCTTGTTGTCTGTAGACATAGTCGATCACTTTGATTGTGTGAAACACATAAAATTTTTGTGTTATCGTTTTTCATTGTGTTATTACTCTGTTGAATATATTATTTATCGTTCGTTGAAGTGTTTAAACCTTAACAAGTTTGAAAGGAGATGATGATTTTTGAGAGTTCAAATGAGGGTAATATATAACATACGATATAATTTTGTCTCAATTATGGTGTGTTTATTACCTCTACAAAATAAGTTAAAGTGACAGAACTTATTAAAATGTGTTTATTATTGGTACCAAACCACAATAAATAGAATTAAATTCATGTAATCCAAAAACTCAAAGTGTTTTTTATTAAGAATGTCAAACTGTAATAAACTAATAAACACATTAAATAAATAGCCCGCAAACGTCTATTTAGAGAAACAAGGTTATTAGATTTTTTGTTGGTGGATTTAGTGTCACCATGTCATTTTATGTAACTGGAACTAACATGTGAGTTAAGAGGCTTCATAATTTGTACTCCAATATATGTACGAGTTTTTGCGGAGTGCATGCATGTATAAGATCGAATTAGAAGTCGGTTCGACGACAAGTCGGGGGTCCAAGGGTAGCGTCCCTGGGTTCTGGGTTTCCAAATGGGCATGGTCTAGGGGTAGCACCCCTAGCGGGGTGCAAGGGGCAGAGCCCCTGACTCGGGTCCCGCTAATGAAATCGGGTCCCGCTAATGAAATCATATTCTTGAGGGTGATTATGGTAAAACTAACGAAACTCGTTAGTTTTGGAAACCCTAAATACTTATTAAAATCCGGATTACCCTGACTTGCTTCCAAAGCAACTCATAACGGCCCAACCCTAATGTAATCCGAATCTCCTTTATTATATAAACTGTTGGAATAGTGTCTAAGGCTGCAACTATATTACACAAGTATTTGATCCAGTTGTGCATGGTCCTTTTGGGTTGCCTTCACCATAGCAACTTGATGGATGATTTGTTAAAAGAGAGTAAATATTATAAGGAATAATATATGGCTATTTGATTAATATAAGTCATAGATTAATTGGAATTAATTTGGTGACTTAAAGAGATTAATTAAATAAGAGGGTATAAACTGTCAATTGTTTGATAGTTAAACTTTAGACTATAAATCCTTATCCTAGATAGGATGGACGATTTCTAGGTCTTGGATAAGCCAAAATCGTCCATAGGGTTATCAAGGAAAGGATATGGATCAACTTAAAGTCTAAGTTATCCAATTAGGGTTAAAGCTGTAATCCTTAAGGAGTCTACAAGTATAAATAGACCCTAGGGGTGAGGGAATTCGACACACCATCTAAAGTAGAGATACTCTGGCCGAATTCCTCCCCTCTCCTCTCTCCTAAATCATCTTGCTTGCTATTGGTGTTTGTAAGCCATTAGAGGAGTGACATTTGTGACTCTAGAAGCTCCAAGACAACAAGATCAACAAGGAATCCAAAGGTATGATTCTAGATCTATTTTAATGTTGTTATTTAACCTAATTAGTCATTTGAAGTCTTGGATTCAAAGCATGTTTAATTAGAAAGCCTAGATCTAAGCATTAGGGTTTTGCATGCGCACATAGGAAAGTTCTTATGGCTAAAACCCATCAGTGGTATCAGAGCCTAGCTTGGTTTTCTTTAAATTGTTGCTTGATTAACTGAAACAAACCTGCAAAATTCGATTTTGGGTTTATGAGTCATGGACTCGGCGAGTAGGCGTGACTCGGCGAGTCCCTTTGTGTACTCGGCGAGTCCGGGCGTCTGGATTAGGCAAAACCGGGATTTTTTCATGTTTATCTTATGGAAACTTACCTTAATCATATTAGATCAACCCTAATCCGTTTTTTTTTATATATATGACTATAATCTTGATCTAATTAAAGATATTTATCATCTAATAAAATATTTAATTTCCTTATGTGATAAATGATTAATTATTTTGATAATTATCTTAAAAGAAATCTTGGATAAATCAAATAAAGATAATTAGGATATTAATTGTTAATTGGAATTATTTGTTATTTGATCCTTCATGTTTTAAATGTTTAAAACCTACCCTAAAGTTTTGAAATTTATATTTGTGATTAAAAGTTTTAATTTAGACAACTTAAATTTCAAACCCTAGATTTTGAAAAGTTTTAAAATACAACCCTATACTAATATGATATTACTAGAATAATATATATATGTATAACTAAATGCTAGTCTTACTGTTAGTAGGCCTCATTCACGAAGCCGATCTATAAGGTGGGTATAAGGTTGCGGCCTATAAAATGGCGCTTAATGGGTGTACACTCACACCCACCGCTTGCTTGATTGGTGGAGGGTCGTTAGCCGAACGGGTAGGATAGGGCAACCTCATCTTCTCATTAAAAGTATAATAAGAAATACAAAGTAACTACACGTTTTAAAAATTTCCCAATCTTAGTTACTTTAGGAAAAGTGAATTGATGCAATCCCATGAAATTACACTTTGCACCTTGCTAAGAAGTTAGTGGAGCATGTGTGGTTTACCGGCACACTAATTGGTTCTAAGCGAAGGTGGCAAAGGGTGATTCATTGTTTATCATAGTTCGATGGAGCGTGTGTGGTTTACCGGCACATCGAATAGGTGATCGTTACAATGAAGGCACCATGTGAATTTGCATGGTAATTCACACCCGCTTTGTGATCCTCGGCATCCCAGTCACAAACGAGAGGGGCATATCGAGATTTAAACATGCCATTGAATAGTTTCAATGAATCTCATCCGAACCTAGGAATTCTCAAAAAACACTTAGGACTAATAGTTTAAGTTTTGTAATGGAGAATTAGTGAATCGTCATTCACTTACCTTCAATTTATTTGCATGTTAGATTACGGCATCCCTTTTCTAGTATGTAAATGTTATTGTTGGATCCTAGCCCTAATTTTCTTATTGGGTGATAATTAGGGATTATTATTCTAATATATCTTTGTCCTTTTCTAATTGAAGAGGTCACCCTAAGCAAACTCCAAGGTCTCTTGAGGGTCGCTGAGAGCAACTTCAAGGACAAGTCTGTTGCACCTACTCCCAATCCGTCCGCTGCTCCTGTCTTGGCTATTGGTCAAGGGAAGGGAAAGAAGAGGAAAACTTCATCGAATAACTATCGCAAGGTGAAAGCCCGAGATGGTGCCTCTTCTAGTGGGACCAAAGTTGATCCCGCTAAGACCTGCTCCAACCCAAAGGAGGCAGAGTGCCACCACTGCCACAAGATAGGACATTGGAAGAGAAGTTGCCCGGATTACCTGCAAGCGATCAAAGAAGGAAAGATCAAGCCATCTTTCGCAGGTATATACACAATCAAATCTAACGATTCTAATCATGCTATTTCTTGGGTTCTTGATACCGGTTGTAGTTATCACATTTGTTCTAATGTGCAGGGACTAAGAAGAAGTAGGGATGTAGAGCAAGGAAGGATCAATCTAATCATGGGGAACAGAAGATCGTCGCCTGTGACCAAGATTGGAGTGTATTCTTTAGTGCTTAGGAATAGTTTGGTTTTAGATTTGAACAATTGTTGCTATTCGCCAGAAATGGTTAGAAACATCATTTCATTTCATGGTTTATATAGACAAGGATTTAGATTTTCTTTTAATAATGAGAATGGTTCTATTTTGGCTTATCTAAATGGTGTCTTTTACTTTGAAGCTATACCATGTAATGGAATATATGAAACTGTTATGATTGTTGATAACTTAGGAAATGATGTTTTGAATATTGATTCTTCCACTAGTATGGATAAAGCATCCTTGTGGCATTGTCGTCTTGGACATGTCAACAAGAAACGCATAGCACAACTCCAAAAGGATGGAGTGTTGGAGTCATTCGACCTTAGGGAAGATGACACATGTGAGTCTTGTTTACTTGGAAAGATGACT